AGAAATTGTAAAGATTACTTCCATATTAAAATTTTATCTTAATTGTTTTTGGAATGATACCTTCTTCCACCAAACAAAGGATTTCAGATTAGTTCTTTTTCTTCTAAGTAATGTCAGGATTTTAAGTTTAATGATTTTATAAAGATTAGTCAATGTTTATTATCCCCCAAATAATTATCTTCTGCATGTTCCTAGAGCAAACTGAATATGTAGTTTTAAAGTAATTGAGGTTGAAGAAAATCTATCTAGTTAATAAAACTTTTATTAATAATTAAACTAAGTTTAGAAAGTATTCAAGTGATACTAAAATTCATTGTAACTTCATGTACACTAAATATAGGTTTGGCCAGTTGAAATTCATCAAATAATTATAATGATGCCAATTTTCATTCAACTTCAGCTCTTTGTCCCTATATAGTCTTCGTTGTACTTTATATTGAAACTTGTAAAGAATCTTAGCCTTGTTTGAAAAATTAATTGCCATAGTTGCCTGTTAATGCCTGTTAGTATGTTACTGACACCCCTAAAAATGACTAATTCCTGTATGTGAGAAAAAGAAAAGCAGCCCTTGACCTCTGGAAACTTGCCTGACCCTTATAAGGAAGCCCAGTATTGTCAGGAGCTAGTATGGAGCTCATAGCTAGGCCCTGGTATTTTCTTATTGGTCATAAACAATCTCACAGAACACCAGCATCAGGCAAGAACTCATGATGATGATGTGAGGCAAAAAATAACTTTATAATTTTGTGCAAGCATTGACAAAAGCAAGGTCACTCTGCATACCACCTAAATATCAAACATTCCCCCGCCCATCTCCTGGTTTATATGGGGGACTGCTGCTTCTTTGCTAATTATAGCTTTAGCCTAGATCTTGCCCTCCATCCCTCTAGATAAGATTTATTAAGACCCATAATCACAGAATTATCCCTGCTTCCCGACAGAGCCCAACTCAGAGCAAATCCAAGCTCCTTGAACTCTTCTCAGAATCACTTAACCAAAGCCCATATCCTACAAAGTCCCTTATGAAGTTGCCCGTTTCTCCCTCATTGCACTGAGCAGTAAACCCGACTTCTTCAGCTACACATGTGTTCCTGGCGGTCTTTGACAAGAGGGTATTGACACATCCATAGCCCCCAAAACTGTCAATATTGAACTAGTAGTTAAGTAAAAATGATGTAAAAGAACCTTGTACACTGTAAAGCTTTATTAGAAAGTTGATGTATTATTAAGATTTCCAGACTTGGAATTTTGTTTTCAGTGGAATCATCCAAACCCACAAGTATTTTTTAACATTCTACTTTTTAAATATATTTGATGAATAGTTCCCTTTCCAAATATAAAACATGTGTATTTTCTACTCTAGGTTTACCATCTCAACTGATTAAAGATGGTGTAACTCTCAAGAGAAGTTCATTCATTTAAAGATTCTTTTCATTATGCTTGGGTGATCTTTGTTCTAGTTCAGATTTTAAATTAACATTGCAATGAATGTCAAGTAGTATCCCTATCCTTTCAGAAATAGTGATGGATCAATATTTCTTAAACATTACCTGCCAACTCTAAAAGCAAATAACGCTTATTGTTGCTTTCGTCACCACTTTAGATGGTGGCGTTTTAAACTGCTGTGTTCTACGCATCAGTATGGGGGAGGAGGTTCTGACCCCCCCCCATCTGTTTAATGGCCATCACTAGACTTCAGTAGGTGCTAAGAACATTATTGTAACATATCCTTTATTGCCATAATAGTGGTCGGAATGGATATACCTACATTCAGTCCGGAACTCACCACACCAAGCAAAGTTGGGAAGTTGAATTTGTACCCAGTCATCTTCCAGGACAGAGTCTGCAAGATCGCCATCTTTCTGGGATCCACAGATGCTGCCCTCTTTAAACTGTTTTTATTTGAAAAGGGATCCCAGGTTTTCACATGGAAAATCTCCCACATGGAAGATCTGGTTTGTGATGGTGTCTTATGTAAACATTTTAATATCAGATCCCTAAAATCCAGAGGCTCCCCCAAAAGGGATTAAAACATAATCCCCTCTCTCTATTGCTGTAGTGGATTAACTGTGTATTCTCTCTGCGGCTGGTTTGCTCCCTGAAGGCTGCAACAAAAAGACTCGGTGCTCCTTAAACATGCTATGGAATTGGAAGTTGTAATTGGAGATTTCCAAAGGACAGGGGTAAAAATGACACACTATTAAGGCTGAATGTTTCATGACGCCTCTTTCTGAAAGAAGAACCAGTTCGAAGTCCTTTTATAAGCCCCCAGAAAATCTCAGTTCAATAGAATCAGATTGGAGTAAAAGCAGAGGCAAGCGCAGTGTCCTTTCAGAAACGCAGAGAATCCAGTAGAGAGAATGTGTTCCCTGTGAAAAGTTCACGGAGACGTGTATTTAGAATCCGTAATATATTTCAGTAAATCACTGTATATGGTTTTGATAATGTGTTTCGTGATGTTTTTTCAATTTCTCCCAATTTAATTGCTTGAATATGTTAAATTACTCTTTAAGAAAAAGGAATAGTTCGCCATTTTAAATGTTTTTGACCATTCTTCGTCTCCAAATGCCAGAAACCTCTATTAAACCAGAAGTCACTAGCCTTCGCTGTATATATAGCATGACGACTTTTGTAAGGTTTTAGCAAGGCCCAACGGTGTATAAGAAGGCACTGTTTTCAATGTCAGTCACATCACCTTCTTTCTCACCTCGCCCCAGTCGAGAGTAAGCCTCCAGTCAAGATCTCTCCAGAAAGGAAATAGGAAAAGTGGCATCCACTGGAGCGTCCTGGTGGCTCAAGGGTTAAGGGAGCGGTTCGAACCGGCCCGAGCGTTGGGGGATTCCGAGGAGGACGCGGGAGGCAGGAGGCGCCGCGGAGCGCGCGCACAGACCCTCCAATAAACACAAAGGAGGGCCTGGGGAATAGAAACCCAAATCCACTTGTAATCGTACAAGAGATTCGGGCATAATTACTTGAGCAACCTAGATTAAGATTGATGAGCCTTTAAAGTGGCGCTTCAGATCGACCGCCTCGCCCTTTGTAAAGAAAAACCTTGTGCAGCCGAGATGGACCCCGACTCCGCTTGGCTACGCGGCGGGAACTGGCGGCCCGGGACCCAGGCCGGGAGTGCGCGCGCCCCGGGGCCGGGCCCCCCGGTGCGGGCTCGGGGGGTACCGAGGGCAATACACTAACCGAAAGGGCTTCGCGTTAGTGTGACCCAGGCGGTCAGCTCGGGGGTGAAGGCTGACACTGACGCAGTTGGCTTCCTGTCCACCCGGTTAGGCGCGACCGAAGCCGGCCGAGAGCCCTCTCCGTGCCTCCCGCGGCAGAAACGGCCCGGCTTTGTGCAGGACGGTAGCGGCCTCGGGGCGCACGCCTCCCTGGGAACGTGAACTTCCCCGCAGTCCCCGGGCCCCGCCGGGTCGGGCCTGCCAGCGGTGGCCTCGG